GGCTCTCTGCCCCTCCCCGCACCGCTCCGCCCCGCCTGGCCGGGGCCGCCGTGTCCGGGGCCGCGGGTCCCTCAGCCGCCACCGCCGCCGCTGCCGCCGCGATCCGGGACGAGCAGGGCCGCCTGGAAGCCCCGGACACTAGACTCGCAGGCCGCCGGATCCGGATTCCGCGCTGGTGTGGCGTCTGGAGCGAGTGAGCGCCGGGGAAACCCGGAACCTGGATGGCAGAGCCAAATCCTGGGTCTCGGAATGCGCGGTTACTGGGAGTCCGGTTTGGAGTCCTAACTCGGAGAATGCTGGAGAGCTCAGAGCAACTCGGAAACCTAGGCCTGTCAGCCTAAACCTCGTGCAGAGAACTCTGGATCAGACTTCGCTCGGAGAAGTCTCTGGAGAAATGCTATACCCTAAACACAGAAGATCCGTGGGAAGAAAGCCCGTGGGGTTAGAACATCCACAAAAAACGGAGAGCAACCACACAAAGCTCATGTGCTTTCAGCCATTTGCCACTTAGTTCGACAAACTTCGATTTTTTTTTTTTATTTTTTATTTTTTTGTCTTTTTGAGACGGGGTCTCCCTGTAGCCCCAGCTGTCCTGGAACTCACTTATGTAGACCACAGAGATCCGCCTGCCTCTGCTTCCCAAGTGCTGGGATTAAAGGCATGCGCTACCACGTCCGGCCAACTTCGATTTAAGAAAAAAAAAAAAAAATTACGTTTCTATTTAGGGGAGGGCAGTGCTGTGGCACAAGTGTGGAGGTCAGAGGTCGCCTCGCTCCTTCCACCATTTGGTTCCAGGGATCAAACTCAGGCTGTCAGGTTGGTAGCAAACTCCTTTGCCCATAGAACCTTCTCACTGGCCCCGAAAACCAATCTTTATCCTTTGTTCTCCAGGTTTTTTATTTTAAATTACCACTTGTTTTCTTCTATTAAGTACCCATTTCTAATTCTTTTATGTCCCTTTCCCCTTCATCCCGTATCACTAGATCTTGTTGCTTTTTATTATCTATGCCCCATTCTGCCCTCCAGCCTACTATTCTATCACTATCGATTATAACTTGTATCTGCTGTCAATCTTCCTTTGCCAGCACACCATCTCCTATGCAGTAGACATTCAATCCATGTTTAAGGGAACCCTCTCATTAGTTGCTTGGAGAACACATACTTTCCATGACCTAAGACTTCCACCTCCTGCCATAGCAAACAAAAATGCATCTTAATCTTAAAGGAGTCCCATTACTTTGCCCCATCATGTCCTTCCTGTGTCCTTGACCATTTTATTTAGCAGTGCAGTTATCTTTCCCTTCCTCCATTATCCTGAGGCACCCTTGAACAATGCCAATCAGGACAGTATGTGACTTGGAGATAGAGTCATAAAGTCCCTTTACTATCCATCTCCATCTTCACAAAAAGAAAAGGCAGATGGGCAAGTTGACAACTTAAAGATGAACACTAAGTCTGTCTAGGAGAAAAATAATTTCCTTTTGGTCCATTGATATTCACATTGTTCTTGGACAGCAAAGGAACAGAACTAATCCTAGGTGACAGCAAACTTTTAATTTATACTGTATGCTGTTAAAAATGAGGATTTAGCTACTTTACAGAGGATGAAGGAGAAGGGTTTTGTGTTTTACATTTATCTGTAACTTGATTAAGGGTCAAATATTTCAGTTATCTACTTAAAGATCATGTTCAGCAATGAAGAGAAGCAGACAAAAAACAGTAGAACAAGGAAACATTTCTACAGTGGATCTCAGCTTTTAGTCTGAGAAAGCTCTCAAGCCTGGAAGAGTCACTGAAAAACTGTCAAGGGATCAGATGTATTATATAGTAAAAGAATCTTTGGGCTTCTAATGTTTCTAGATCAATGATTAGCCAATCCATGGCTCATTGGACAACTCAGGCTTGCCACCACCTGTTTTGGTATGCCCCATGAATTAAAAAAGGACTTAAGCTGGGCATGCTGGCACACACCTTTAATCCCAACACTCCGGAAGCATAGTGCAGGCAGATATCTGTGAGTTCAAGGCCAGCCTGGTCTACATAGTGAGTTCCAGGACAGCTGGGGCTACAGGAAGACCCCTTCTCAAAAAGACTAAAAAAAAACCATGCCTTTAATCCTAGGACTCAGGAGGCAGATCTCTATGAGATCAAGGCCAGCCTGGTCTACATAGTGAGTTCTAGGCCAGGCTGGGGAGAGCCTGTCTCAAAAAAACCAAAAATAAAATAAGGCAGGCACGGTGGCACACACCTTTAATCTCAGTACTTGGGAGGCAGAGGCAGGCAGATCTCTGTGAATTCGGGGCTGGCCTGGTCTCCATAGTGAATCCAGGACAGCTGGGGCTACAGGGAGAAACTGTCTCAGGAAGACTAAATAAATAAATAAATAAATAAATAAATAGGGTTTACTATTTTTTAATTATTTGAGTAACCAAAAGAATATACTTTTTTTTTTTTTTGGTCTTTTTGAGACAGGATTAAAGGTGCGAGCCACCACGCCCGGCAAGAATATATTTTATAGTACAAAAATTCTGTGAAGCTCAGTGTAGAAGTATAAACCCCAGGACTCAGGAATTTGAGACTGGGATCTAGAGTTCAAATTAAGTCAGGTGTGGTGACATACCCTTTTAATCTCAGCACTTGGGAGGCAGAAGCAGGTGGATCTCTGTGAGATGAAGGCCAGCCTGATCTCTATAGCAGTCCAGGCCAGCTGGGGCTACAGGGAAACCCTCAAAAAGATAAAAAAATAAAAGTTGCTATCCCCCTACCCCCCAAAAGAAAAGAAATAGATGGCTGGGCTTAGTGGCACACGCCTTTAATCCCAGCACTTGGGAAACAGAGCCAGGTGGATCTTTGTGAGTTTGAGGCCAGCCTGGTCTACAGGCCAGCTTGGGGCTACAGGAAGACCCTGCCTCAAAAAGACCCCCCCCCAAAAAAAGAAAAGAAATAGTTTTACTGGGAGTAAGGAAGTTTATTTATTTACATTATCTATGGATGGATTTCCACTACAAAAGCACAGTTGAATAGCTTGTAAAACCTAAACCATTTGTTATCTGACCCTTTTCAGAAAGAGTTTACCAACCCCTGCTATTGAGTTCAGAAGTCACTAGCCATATGTGGCTACTTGAGTACCTAAGATAGGAGGAACTGAATCTTCAATTGAAATCTAATTCAAATTTAAACCACATATGGCTAGCATAATCACAGACTCTCCTTAAGTCTTACTATATATTGATATACTTTCCTCCAAGATCTTACTCCTCTCCTGTGACACCCCTCTCTACTGGTTTAGGCAACCCCACCTCCTATTTTCTGACTCCAATCTAGGGTATTTTACTGAGATTTCTTTCTGAAGTATCTCATCTTCACAACTGAAATCCAACATCTGATTGGTTTATATTTCATCCCATGAACTAAGCCACATTGTGTTCACACACATAAATGGACATTTACATGAGTTTTTTGTGACAGAGGATGGCATAGTGGCTGTGTTCTTTCTTTGCATGAGAGACGCAGAAAAACTCTCTGCAGGCTGGATCCCTTGTTGTGATGTGGATCACCTCCTTCCAAACACATTCACAGAGGCTGAGAACAGCAGATGTGTGCTTGCTATTTGTATCTCAAGAAAAAAAAAATTCCTTTATCACTGAACTGTCTTCCCTCCTCCAGACCTAACAAACTGAAGTTTGCTGCTTTCTCAAGTTTAATAGTTGCTCTGGCCAAGACAACAACCCCACACTGTCCCAATCTTGGTTAAGCCCTCTAGCAAAGGCATTAAACGCATCTACTAAATTAAATGACCACCAGATAAATAGCCTGTAGTACAGACAGTAATTAAAATGGAAAGAGATTAAGTATCATGACCAATAAATGTCCATAACTTTATTTATAAAAGTAATCTTGAGGGGCCAGAGAGATGGCTCAGTGGTTAAGAGCACTGACTCATGCAGAGGACCCAGGATGGATTCCCAGCACAACATGATAGCTAACAACTGTCTGCAACTCCAGTTCCAGGGGATCTGACATCTTCTGACATCCATGGGCACTGCATAACAGGGGTGCATTTGTACACATGCAAGCAATATGCTCATATACATAAAATAAAAATAATAAAATATTTAAAAGAGCCGGGCATGATGGCACATGCCTTTAATTCCAGTACTCCAGAGGCAGAGGCAGGGAGCTCTTTGTGAGTTTGAGGCCAGCCTGGTCTACATAGTGAGTTCCAGGCCAGCTGGGGCTATAGGGAGACTCTGTCTCAAAAAGAAAAAACAAAAAAACTTAAAAGTAATCTTTAAGTAAGTTTTTCACATCAGGCCAGGAGGAATAGAACATGCCTCAAATCTCAGCACTTGGGAGGTCAAGGCAGGGAGACTTCTGTGAATTTGAGGACAGCCTGGTCTACATAGTGAGACCCCCCTTCTCAAAGAGAGGGAAAAAAAGGTGTTTTCACACCTACATGGCAGGGAAAAAAAGGATTTCTAAAAACTTTCGGTTTAAAAAACTAGGCTATGCCGAGTGTGGTGGCGCACACCTTTAATCCCAGCACTTGGGAGGCAGAGGCAGGCGGATCTCTGTGAGTTCAAGGTCAGTCTGGTCTACATAGTGAGTTACATACAGGACAGCTGGGGCATAGGGAGACCCTGTCTCAAAAAGACCAAAAAAAAAAAAAGCTAGGATATTATGGATATTATGGGGCTGGAGAGATGGTTCAGTGGTTAAGAGCACTGACTTCTTGCAGAGGACTGGGGTTCAATTCCCAGCACCCACATGGCGAATAACAACTATCTGTAACTCCACTTCCAGCACACACATGCACATATATGCACATACATACACAGGTGTACTTACACTCATACATGTAAAATAAAAATAATAATAGATAGGACATTTAGTCGCTTTAGATTAGCTGTCGGAAACCGCAAAACCCCCTAAATCCTTATTCTTAATCTAGTCTAAACATCTCATTTAAAGGCAAGGCCTCATAAATCATGACAAAGTCCCCACTTAATACATATCCTACTGTAAGTTTTTATAAAGGAAACTGAGTCCTATCTGGAAAAACAAAAAGAAAAAAGCCAATTCTTTTAAGTACCACACTAACTAAAGCAATTGAACTCAATCATCCAAAAGGGAGCACGGACACTGAAAGTGTAACAGAAAACTAACCCTGAAGCTTGAAACTTCCTCAGGCCAAACTGCTCTGGAGTAGCAGGGTCAGAGTGTTATAAAGCACTGACACGCTATTCTTGGGCAAGCTTGTACTCAGACTGCTAAGAATTTCCACTAGACTTTAAATTACACTATTCATCACTGAGCAACTGAGGACCATCTACCCGCAACCTTCTCCCACACTTCCTCCCTGGTGTCTCAGCAAATAAAAGAGAAACTTTATACTACCACTACCACGTGAACTCAAGACAGACTCTCACAGCCTAACCATGAAAAGGAGAAGTTTCCAAGTGGCTCTGCCATTTATTCATGTGGCTCCAACTGCATATTTTGGATGCTGAGGTGAGTTCTTGTAAACTTGCAAACCTATGACTGCATAACCTGATCTGTTGCAGCTCCTGGCTGTTTCTTGTTTTTTTTAGGTGTGCACGCAAATTATTATTTACATAAGAAAAATCAACCCAGACTCCTCTGCATGAAGGTTCTCTTCAAATAAAAGATAAACTCGTTCTCTCTCTCTCCCTTATCTCTTTACCTCTTGCCTTTTAGCTTTATTTTGGTATTAAAAGAAACAGATAGCTCCAGCACAGAATTCAAGGTGCTATTGCTTGGTAAACTATTAACTGCATAGTGAACTCAGTAATGCCTTCAATAATGGTAAGGTTTCCAAGAGGCCAGAGAGACTTTTTTTCACTCTTAAAGAAATGCCATTAACTGTCCTCTCCACTTTCTCCACAGAGAAACAGAAAAGGAGAGAGAATACTGCATGCTTGCATCACTGGAATAAGGCTCTAGTGGGTTTTCCCTGGGAATCTAGAGTGATCAGGCTCTGCAGAACCAATGCTATGCAACAAGCAGGGTTCACAGTTGAGTGAACATCAATGCGCAATGAGTGGAAGCATTTCAATGCAAATAAATGCTGAATATGAAGGATTAAAGAAAGGGGAAATTCATCTTTTTCATAACATGGGGTACTTTTTTTTTTTCTCACTTGCTCTTTCTTTTTTAAGCCAAGCACACAAACTGCTGGAGAGAGTCCAACATCCCCAGTGTGGTGGTGGTGGTATTTTATAAAAAGCAGAACATACACATTTAAGACCATGAATTTCCTCAGGATGCCAGCAACTGAGATGCTGACAGCTCTTGAGAACAGCCTCAGAAACAAAGTGCTTCACTAAGGGCTAGAGGGACCACTGAAAATCTCTCTTTAAACCAACTACTTTTTGAATTTTTTTCCCAGTCATAGCTTCTTGGGATGTGGGTGGTTAAAAAAACGGTTTGGCTTCAGCACTTGGGGGTATTTTGATGCATTTACTGAGAGGATTTTATTTTCCAGTTTGTTTTTAATTGCTCTACCTACATGATGCTTTTGCAATACCAAAATAAACAGGGCAGGTTCAGGCTCCCTTAGCAGGTGGTTCCCCCTCTTCCTACTCTGATCTTCTTGTCCTGGCTTCTCAAACTAAAAAACACGGTGGAGGCATGTCTGTCTTCATTCTATTCTTTCAAAAAATAATGTACTAATAATAGCAATTCAGATTTTCACAAGAGATGTTGGATTAGAAACTAGGCATGGTGGTTCACGACTGTAATCGTGAACTTGGAAGTACTTGGAAGGCTCTGACAGGAGATTGCTGTGAGTTCCAGATCAGCCGGGAACAACAGTATGAGAACCTGTCTCAAAAAGTCAAAAGCAGAAAATTTGGTAAGACCGTTTTTGTTTCAATCACAGGCTTATATTGAATACAGGATTCCTCAAAATTCCAATATTCTAGTAGATAATCACTTTGAGAAAAAACTTTCAATCCAAGGACTCCCTTGTAAAATTGTTAAACTAGGTTGAGATTTTTCTAACTACAAAGATAAATCTCATAGAGGAAAGTAATTTCTAATGTGTTCTCTTCTAAATACTGTTCTGAGAAAAATATCAAAGACCTAGAATTAAAAAAATTTTTTTATACATAATATCTTCAAAGATTTTACAGAATCCCATGAAGAATCCCATCCTTTAAGAAAAATATACAGATTTGGTAAGAGTTTAAATTCTGAGAGATTCAAGCCTGGTGCCAAGTCTTTAGATTTCTTTTGCTTCAATTCCAAAGGACCAGTGGATAGCAATTTTAGTACACAAGACTCCACTATGTTGTATAGTTCCTTTTTTCCTAGGTCAGACAGTTTTATTCTGCTTCATTAACCCCTTCTTTGCTCCTTGATGGATCTTGGAATCCAGTTTCCCTGTGGAGGAAAAAAGAAGTCTCATTATTTACTTTTATATTTGCAATGCAAATCTTTCCTGACCTCCTAGGTCTTCTGGTTACTGTGTTACTGTCACATTTAATTATCTTGCTTCAGGATTTAGGATACTTCCAAACTTCAGAGTTTTATTTTCTAAGAAAAAGGCAGTTTGAATGTGTAGACAAGACAGATAGGCAGGCAGGCAGACAGACAGACAGCCACACACACACACACACACACACACACACACACACACACGAGTATTTAAAGAATTTAAGTAGTTAGTATTTCTAATTTTGTAGTTCTTAGAAGAGAAACTCAATTTTCAGGGTGTCTGATGTTAAGACAAAATTTTTAAGAATACATACATGTAGATAAGAAAAGAAAAAAGAGCCAGGCATAGTGGTGCACACCTTTAATCCCAGCACTTGGGAGGCAGAGGCAGGTGGATCTTTGTCAGTTCAAGGCCAGCCTGGTCTACATACTGGGGCTACAAGGAGACCCTGTCTCAAAAAGACAAAAAAAAAAAAGAGTACAGACATTATGAAGAAATGCACTTCACACAGTGGGAAACCCATTCCACTGACCTGTTAACTAGCTGAGTATAATACATGAGCCTCCTTCACAGTGGGAAAAGCAGTTCAACTCACCCTTTTGCTGCCTTATACTTAATAGGGGGAATGACCTTAAACAGCAGAGTGGAGTCCACAAAAATGCTCCCCTGACAAAGGGCTCCTATCCCCAGCCAAGAGGGGTAAAGGTCATAGACTATATGACTCTTCTAAGTATTAAACTTAGAAAACAAGCAGCCATAATCGTGTGTGTGGTTTACCCGTGTAATCCCAGCACTGGGGAGGAGGAGGCAGGAGGATTGCTGCACGTTCAAGACTGGCCAGGTCTACATAGCAAGTTCTTGGCCAGCCAGAGTTACAGCTTCCATTTCAAAGAAACAAACAGAAAACCCCTTTCATGGTCTAGGTGACCCAAATAAGAAGTATTTGACTGATGTGATTCCTGAACTGACTCCTCCATCTACCAGCATACAGTTTAGTGCAGTGGTAGCAGCCTTTGAAACCATCTATTACATGAAGAAAAAAACCTCAAGAGTCCCTGTTTGTTTGGTCTGAGAAAGGAGTTTGCAAATTGCTTTTCCTCCACAAAAAGCATTGATATAAGTCATCATACTGATGAAAATGATAGTGATGATGATGATGATGATAAAACAGAAGAGTTCATTTCAGTTTTAGCAGTAAAGCTATAAAGAAAAGAGCCTTGGGTACAGCATACAAGGGCAGTCCTGTATACTCTGGGCATACACCCAGAACCACTGCCGCTCACTCAGATATTGTTATTTTCATTTGTTGTGCAATCAGATGTAACAGAAGCAGCACTGACTAGAAGCTAGTTCATACCTGTATGAACTGGGCAAGTCATTCAACCTCTCTGCATTTCAATGGTCTCATTAAGATAAGACTACTTGTCCTGACCACTGTACAAGGAGACTGGGAGAAAAATACCCTCAGCAGAACAAGTTTCCTGAAGGCCTCTTCCCCTAGTTTTTCTAGGCTACAGATATGCTTCTAGAACAGTATTACACCTTTTTCTCTGCTACCCTAAATGCCATCTATAATAGTCACAGTACTGTTGATTTTAATTTGAGCTTTAGAATTTGGTCATTCCCAGTGATTTAGGAGTTCTATCATCCCAAAGGCACCAAGCTGGCAAAGAACCCTATTACTGGGCAAATTTTCCTTTGTCTCTCTAACAGTACTGACTGTCAAATGGTAGGTGCTCAATAAACGCTTTCATCAAATAAATTAAACAGGAGGTAGAGGCAGAAGGATCAATTCAAGGCCAGATTCAGCTATATAGGGAGGTAAAGGCCAGCCTAGATTATATAAGACCCTTGCATTTTAATATAAGGGGGTCCTACATGGAAGTTTAGAGTGATTTACCATCATGCCAATAATTGTATGCTTTGGTACACTTTGGAAAAGCTATATGTAGTAAATATGATTTTGGGGTTTTTTTTTGGGTCTTTTTGAGATAGAGTCTCCCTGTAGCCCCAGCTGTCCTGGAACTCACAATGTAGACCAGGCTGGCCTTGAACTCAGAGATCCGCCTGCCTCTGCTGAGTGCTGGGATTAAAGGCGTGCGCCACCACTCCTGGCGTAAATATGATTTTAAAGTTATTGGTAAACATAATTATCCTCCAACACCAAGGATGACACAGAACACAGAAGAATGGTGTCTTATTTTTCAAAGTTAGACAAGATAGAAGAGAAAAAAAGAAAATTAGACCATCAAAGATGGTGACTTACAGATTTTTGGATTTCCTTTAATAGGAAACTTCACAACCATTTCCTGGGGATTTTTGCAGATGAAAACAAATGGGGAATCAGATTCTTGACTGATGTCTGGAAACTGAAATATGAAAATAAAAGTTCAGGTTAGTTGGGACAAATCTGTAATTTGAAAGAGATGAGGAAACATCCCAGATTTGACCTCAGCATTCTGATGACAGTACTTGCCAGTCCACAGAAGAAGAGAGTTGTGCTCAAAAAGCAAGAATAAAATTCCACCTTTCTACAGATCTTAGTACAGGATTAGTCTACTACCTGGCTTCCTATAGTGGAATCAGCTTCATAAACAAAGGATGCCTGACATTCTTCAAACACAATGGAACTGCCCATCCTTTTAACACAGGCAGTTGGGAGATTTCTCAGGTCTTCTTCAAAAATGTTGAACATCCCCCTAGGTTCAGTTCAAGTGAAGCAGTGGAAGACTTAAGGAAAATAAAGCATTTGTGGAAACTGTCAGAAATAGTACACACAGCCCTTTCTCACTAAGGGAAAGGAAGATGATTCATTCTGAAAGGTATGAACACGAAAAAGCTGTTCTGCTGGATGCATTCCAGGCCTACCAGGTAACTGGTAGAACAATTCTGAAAACTATTTAGAAGCCTCCTTTAGATATCTTATCACAAAATAAATTTTCTTCACTATTTAAGAGTTTTATTCCTTTTACAAAAACAAAACCTAAAGTAAGACTATGCTACTAGCTATATAATCACAAGTTAAACAATTATGGGTTGGCAGAAAATGTTCTCTATCTAGCACTGCTCAAATGACCTGGTGTTTCATTATCTTAGGATGTCTTATTTTTAGCATGTTTATAAATATGACTGATAGGCTTCTGGGTCAGACATAGTTATGAGATAAACCCTTTTCCTAATAACTACTATCACAGGTATGAAGTTATTTTCTACCCTTATCTGTTAAGATCTATCCTCTATAGATCTAAAGGTCTTAAAAACAAACAGGGGCTGGGCTAGGGGCTGGAGAGATGGCTCAGCGGTTAAGAGCACTGACTGTTCTTACAGAGGACCTGGGTTCAATTCCCAACACCCACAGGGCAGCTAAGAACTGTCTTTAACTCCGGTTCCAGGGGAATCCAAAGCCCTCTTCTGACCTCCGTGGCATTGCACGACACAGGTACACTTGCATACATGCAGGCAATAAACTCATACACATAAAATAAAAATAATTCAAAAACAAAACGGGCTGGAAAGATAGCTCAGTGGTTAAGAGCATTGACTGCTCTTACAGAGGACTTGAGTTCGATTCCCAGCACCTACACGGCAGCTAACAACTGTCCGTAACTCCAGTTCCAGGAGATCTGACACCCTCTTCTGACCTCTGTGAGCATTGTACAACATGGTCCACTTAGACACATGTAGGCAATACACTCATATACATAAAATAAAAATAAATAAAAAGAGCTGGGCATGGTGGCGCACGCCTGTAGTCCCAGCACTAAGGAGGGAGAGGCAGGTGGATCTCTGTGAGTTCAAAGTCAGCCTGGTCTACATAGTGAGTTCTAGGCCAGCTGGGGCTACAGGGAGACCTGTTTCAAAAAGACTAAAAAAAAGGTAAAATAGGCCAGGCGAGGTGGCATACACCTTTAATCCCAGAACTTGGGAGCCAGAGGCAGGCAGATCTCTGTGAGTTTGAGGGCAGTCTGGTCTACATTGTGAGTTTCAGGCCTGCTGGGGCTACAGGGAGACCCTGTCCCAAAAAGACTGAAAATAAAATAAAAAAATAACAAGTAAAATATTAAGCAAACAAAACAAAGCAATCTAAGGGTCTTCATGGGCATGGTGTCTCATGCCTATAACCCCAACATTTGGGAAGTGGAGGCAGGAAGATCAGGAATTCAAGGCCAGCCTTGGTTTTATATGCATACATACACACATAAATATACACATAGTTATATATATACACACACACACACACACACACACACACACGCACACATACACATTAGTGAGTTTGAGATCAGCCTAGGCTACAGGATGTTGTCTCAAAAAAACAAAACGGGGTTAAGGAAACAGCTCATATAAAGTCTTGGCACACAGTGAGAATCTGAGTTTTAATCCTCAGAACCCATGTAAAAGCTGAATTCATAGCTCTATCATCTACTGTCTCAGTGTTCCTAAACGAAGATGGGAGGTGGAGACAGGAAACTCCTGGGAAGCTTGTGGGCAAGCTAGCTTGACATACTCAGTGGAAAAGCAACAAAGAGACCTGTCTTAAACAATGTAGAAAGCAAGGACCAACACCCAAAGTGGTCCTCTGACCTCCACATATACACACCATGGCATATGTGCCTGCATTCACACATAAGTGTGCCCCCACACACGTGTGCACACCACATGCACACAAACACACATTCATGTACCACATGCATATACACACTCGCGCATGCATCACACGCATACACTCATACATGCGTGCACGTACACACACACACACACACACACACACACACACACAAATTTTAGAAAATAAAAAAATCTGGGCCGGGTGTGGTGGCACATGCCTTTAATCCCAGCACTCAGGAAGCAGAGGCAGGCAGATCTCTGTGAGTTCAAGGTCTACATAGTGAGTTTCAGGACAGCTGGGGCTACAGGGAGACCCTGTCTCAAAAAGACAAAACAAAAGAAAAGAAAAAAAGTCTTAAGGCTGGAGAGATGACTCAGTGTTTAAGAGCACTTGCTGCTCTTAAAAACGACCCGAGTTTGGTTCCCAGTACTCACATTGCAGCTCACAACTGTCTATAACTCCAGTTCCAGGGGACCTGAAACAGTCTTCTGACCTCCAAGGGTACTAGCCACAAAAATCAGTGCACATTCATACAAAAAGGCATTCACACACAAAACAAAATATTCTTTTTAAAAAGTGTGTGTAAACCAGGCGTGGTGGCGCACGCCTTTAATCCCAGCACTCAGGAGGCAGAGGCAGGCAGATCTCTGTGAGTTCGAGGCCAGCCTGGTCTCCATAGCAAATCCAGGCCAGCTGTGGCTACAGGCAGACCCTGTCTCAAAAAGAACCCTCCCCCCCAAAAAATTTAAAGAAATTTAAAAAATTACTTTTATTTCATGTGTATGAGTGTACTGCCTACACGTATATAAATGCACCCCTGTTGTACAATGCTCACAGAGGTCAGAAGAGGGCATCATATTCCCCTGGAACTGGAGTTAAAGTTGTTAGCTGCCATGTGGGTGCTGGGAATTGAACCCAGATCCTCTGAAAGAGCAGCCAGTGCTCTTAACCACTGATCCATCTCTCCAGCCCCTTATTTATTTATGTATGAGTGTTTTGCCTGCATGTATGTATGTGCCCCAAGTGTGTGCCTGGTGCCTCCAGAGGCCATAAGAGGATGTCACATCGATGAGAAACTTTGTCTCAGAAAATAAGGTGAAGTTGGAGTAAAGAAGACAATGGGTAGAAAGAAGTCAAAGGATAATGCTTCAGGAGTCTGTTCTTATTTCTGTGTTGAACTGCATTCATGAGCTTCTTTTCCCATCTCCCCTTAGGAACAAGAGAGCTGCAATTACAGGCATGAACAACCACATCTGTTTTTGCTTTCTTTTGTTTGTCTTTTTGAGACATGGTCTCCCTAAAGCCCCAGTTGGCCTGGAACTTGCTATGTAGACCAGGCTGGCTTTGATCTCATAAAGATCCACTTGCCTCTGCCTCCCAAGTGCTGGGATTAAAAGTGTGCACTACCATGCCCAGCTACATTAGACTTTTAAAATTTTTATTTATTTATTTATATTCTATGTGTGTGAGTTTTATGTCTGCATGTATGTAAGTGCACCTGTGTTGTACATTGCCCACAGAGGACAGAAGTGGGTGTCGGATCCCATGGAATTGGAGTTATGAATGGTTGTTAGCTGCCATGTGGGCCCTGGGATTTGAACCCAGGGTGTCTGCAAGAAAAAACAGTGCTCTTAACCACTGATCATCCTGACTCAGCTTCCTGAGTCCTGAGATTACAAATGTGCACCTCTTCTTAAACTTTATCCACGCATGACCCCTCTTACATGACCCTTAGGTTTACAGATATATGAAATAGGTATAATAAATCACTAAGAAATTTATTAATAATAAAAGCAAAATTGCATGTTAATGAGGTAGATGTGCTTAGTTTTACACAAATAATTAAGTCTTGGCTAAATATTTGATACTTCAGGATATAGAGCATCTTTGACATTTTTCAGCTCATTTATATTTTGATTTTATAGTTCCCAAAGTAAGGACACCACTTTGCATAAAGAATGCAACAAGCCTGAGTGGTGGCACATGGCTTTGATCCCATCACTCGGAGGCAGGTGGATCTCTGTGAGTTGGAGGCCAGCCTGGTCTACAGAGAAAATTTCAGGAATTCCAGGCTAGCTGGGGCTACAGAGAGACCCTGTCGCAAAAAGACCAAAAAAAAAAAAAATGGAAGAAGTATGTTTTAGAGTCATTTCAGAAATTATAGGAAACTCTGTTCTACTCCCAAGCCAAAATTTATTTAACAATTTGTGTGTGTGTGTGTTTGTACGTGCATGTGTGTACATGTGTATATAGATGCACTCTCCTATGTGGGGCACATGTGGAGGCCAGAGGTTGACTCTGGGAAATCTTCCTCAATTACTTCTCTACCTTTTTTTTTTTTTTTTAAATTATTTATTGAGACAGGGACTCCCAGTAGACCCAGGTGGCCTGGAACTAAGCAGACCAGGCTGGCCTTGATCTCACAGAGATCTGCCTGCCTCTGCCTCTCGAGTACCGGGATAAAAAGTGTGCGCCACTATATTAAGCAGCACCTTTTTTTGAAATACAGTCTCTCACTGAACCTGAAGCTTGCTGTTTGGGCTAGACTGACTGGCCAGTAAGCCACTGGGATCCCCACCTGTGCCTGCCCAACAAGTAGAGGTGGCAGGCATGGACTGCCACACCTGTTTTATGTAAATGTTGGAGATCCAAACTCAGGTCCTCATACTTGTATGGAATGTGTTTTACCTACTTAGCCATCTACCAAGCCCTATTTAACAATTTTTTTTTTTTTTTTGGTCGTTTTGAGACAGGGTCTCC